ATTTTTATGTGAATTTAATTTATTTTATAGTGAAAATTTTATATTCTTACATAATTATTATATTTTTATTATATTAATTAGAAAAAAAATTAAATAATTTTAATATTTATGACATCATCAATTGTTCAAACCCAGTCACAATGTTGAATCTTGAATCTCTACTTATTTTGGTTCTATGTTAGAGGTTTGGTTTCACAACCTTGCTTCCAAATGCTTTAGCAAGATTGATGATGACCAAGGTTTCTTTTGAGATTTCTTTTTTACTGCTTTCTAAAGTAGCATTTTTGTACAAAAATTTTTTATTCACAAAATTTCTATACTAAAATGCTATTTTAGAAAACAATAAAAAAATTATCTCAAACAAACCCTGAATCAGTAATCACCAATGTGGTGAAGGAAAGGGCTATTAGACGAGTTGAAAGAGATAAAAAATCCATTTCCATGCTTATTGTGGAGTTTGCAGTGCATGAGGTACAAGGCACCAAATATTGTTCGGCCTCAATGGTGTGCCATTCATTCCTTTAAGTCGTCCACACTTCAGATGACTTCCAATGAAATAGCAATGTTTTTATTACGTCATTATCATGGATGTTTGAAATGGAGTTAGGGAGGTTCAGAGGGAGATAATGCGGGAATGGAGGATTGGTTAGAGGAGGCAGGAAAGTGGTTCAAGTGATGGTTTTATATGAGAAATAACCGATTATTTCCCCATGTAGAAGTCAGATAAGCTGATCAACCCGAATAAGAGTTGCCAATAACAGTGCCATCTAAAAATGGAACGGCTTTCTTACTATTTTCTAATATTTTCTGAAGCAATCGTTTAGTACAATTTTTTTTTTGTTTGAGAAATTTTTGTACTAAAAAATTGTTTTAAAAAGCATTAAGAAAATCATCCCAAACAAAACATTATTGTTTTTAAAATATTTGAATTTCTCTGTTGTGTAATTGTTACTCATTATGGGGTTGTACAACCATGGGGCTTTTAGCATCTCTTCCTTATTTTCTTGAAAGCATACACTTTTGTTTTAGGCATTAATTGACACTCCATTTGAAGGTTCAATAGTGATCTAATAAGAGGAGAGTCCGATAACACTGTTGAGGTCATACGTGAAGATAGCAGTTAGAGGTGTCAATTTGAGTTAGCAGATCGGGTCTAGATTTGATACAAAATTGATGTGATCTAAATATGCTTGTGTCAAATCAAGCATCTTTATTATCTAAATAAAAAAATTTAATCCAAACCTAACTCAACTCGAACCTATCTAATTTGACTCATTTAATATATAGATCATGCTTAACCTAAGTATAACATGTTTAACCCAACATGACATATTTAACATGAACTTAATAATAATCAGATTAATTTAGAGTCAATTTAGATTTTCAGGTTAACCATAATCCAACACAAAATTTAATTAGGTCAAAATTTCGGACCAAAACCATCCGAAATTTAATTGGGTCAACTATAACCTAGATTTTTAGAATCATGTTTATGTCAAATAGTGGGGTGGTTCATTCAATGATATCTCTAATGACAACTAATAGGATGTCAAGAAGATGGCATGACTTATTCAGTGCAAATGCCGAATGTCATTCAGAGACTAAACAAAATGCGCCATATCACCCCTTCGCTATGCATCGCGGCTCGGTACCACTCGGTACCAAGGCCCGGTTCCGCTGATGCGGCAACACCTAATTACTCTAGCAAAAAAAATCTCAAAGAACACTTCTGAATATATCAAAGCACTCAACCTCCCTTATAACTTTTCTCTTTGGTGGCCCAACCACCAACTTTTAGCTTCCCCATCCAAAAGAAAGAAAGCTAACATGATTCTTCTATCTGTCTCACATTGCATCCCCGAAAATAACTTCTCCAATCTCACAAGCTAATTTTTTGCCTCCCTGGGTTCCACTACACCCTTACCTCTTAGATGTTTCAACCTCATAAACATTTGTAAGTGCCTATCAAAATCATCAGATCTAGTTGTAAACATCGTGCTCTGAGTCTCATCCATCAACTTTGCTACTAATCTAACAAACTACGAAATAGAACCAAAACTAACAATCCTTGATGTACTCTACACTTGCAAAGTATGACTAGAACTTTGTTTATCTAACATTTTTAGCTCTAATGAATTCATCAAATATAAACACAATGCGCACAACTGAATGATACATTCACATGAAAATAAAACAGAATGAACACATGATACTATCCTAAACTCTTGCCACTACAATACCAGTTCAATCCTACGACCCTTACAATCAATTCCTTCAAATCATTACTCTAATATCAAAAAATTCTAACACAACCAAATATGATATAACCCATAAACAAAAATGGTTCATAACATGTCGAATGATAACAAGACAGTCACTAGGATCCAATTGGAAAAATTTTTAGAAATTTCAAATAATTTGTTCACTACAAAGCCACTAAAATTTCAATAAAATAAATAAATACTCATCATCAAAAGTTCTTTTATCCATCTAAAAAATATTTACAAGAAAATAAATAACATACAAAAAGTATATGCACTACTAATAAATCAACTTTTCGCAGCACTTTTTAGAACCTACGACAACGGTTTAAACATCTACTAATTTATTTGCAGCGGTTTAGAAACCATTATTTTTGCTTTCACCGTAAAGACTTTAGCAGCGGTTTTATAAGTGTTTTTATAGGAAAGCTTTAGCAGCGCATTTAGCATGTGTTAAAACTACTACTAAATGGTAGAATAAATTAAAAAGAAATATAATGGCAAGAAATTTTTTTTATCAAATTATAAATATTAATAAAATATTATACAAATATAAATTAATTGTGTTATTTAATGGTTAGCTAATTGTGTTATTTAAACTGTAATTTTTATGTGCTATTATGTTTCCAAAAAAACCAATCAATAAACAAAGAGAAAAAAATGGGAATTTAGCAATCATATATGATCAAATGCCAGTCCCAGACGGACGAAAAGAGGAATCGCACAGAAGATCTGAGTGAGATGTCTAATGGGTCCGCAAGGGTTCGAAAAGAGAAAATATATTTATTTTTAACACAAGTGAAAAACGCTGCTTATGGGTATCAATTTCACTTGATTTACTAACCGCTAGTATTAATTGCTGCGAAAACTTCGGATTTTGGTAGTGATGGAATAGCCAATACATATCAGAAAAAAGTCATAACTATTGAAATCCAACTAACATACTTATACAAACTTAGATCTCAGGACCTATGACCTGTTCTCTACTCATCCTAACCCTTCCCTTTTTACTAGCTTGAAATAGATGCAGAAAACAAGCACGAGCAACTATAAGTCAGGGAGCCACATTCAACTTATCAAAAATTTTAATAATTTTTAAAAACAATAATAAGCAAAAATATTAAGGCTGAATAAATTCATCCATAAAGAGGCCCAACCAAATTGTTTGGAACAAAAGAATATCTATAGAGCATTAAATAATATTTCTAACACATCAACTAAAACAACATAACATTAAGAAAACAATACAATGAACACTTCATATACATATCTCATAACAGATAAAATTTCTCTCATGCCCTTATACCTCCCAACAAGTACAAAAATTTTGAATTATTGTCGATATTAATCTCTATGAAAACTTATTAGATTATAAGACATTATGACTCTCAATTTCATAGAATCGTATTTGAAAAATTCAGGCTCTTTTGAATCCTGATAGATAACACCACAATACTTCCTCAAATCATCAAAGTTCATCCATATTCACACATTATAAGACTGAAAATACATAAATAATGCTTTTTTTTTAAATATAGTACATAGTATGAAAGTCATCATAGGATTTCGTAGAATATCCTACTAGTAATCAAATAATACAAAATTAAGAGTAGAGCCACACATGAAATTGTATATTTTCAAAATTTCACCAGATTAACACACATTATTAATAACTACATTTCAAAAATTTTATTGTACTATGACAAGATTTATATGTATCAAAAAAAATTTCTAAATCATTAAAATGGTTTGAAATAAAATATCAAAATATGCATAATATTGTTAACTACAACATACAAAAAACGACGGTATGAAAATATCAAAAAAACAGAAGCTACCTTTCGATTCGATTAGGGACGAACAGGAGGCTATGTGAGAATTTACTGCATCGAGCAACGAATTAGAGCTGGACAAAACCCACGAACCTGTACACGAAGACAAAGCCATGTCTGAGTGTGCTGCTTCTTCCAACTCCCAAGACCTGCAGGAGGATCGCAATATGGCCAATCGCAATTCTCTGGTCAACTGCGAACATCCCGTTTGGGGAGAATGAAACTGTTTTGGATGTTTTCAAAAGGATTGAGAGTGTAATTGGAGGTGGATTACTTGACGCTCATGATACAACCTAGTGTGTGCAAAACTTTCGATTTCAGCCACCTATGCACTCAGTGCTACAGGTTCATGCACTCAACTGTTTGTGCAAATGTCCCAACGCAGCAAAATTCATATTTTCACCCAAATGAGGTTCCAAACCTGCAGTCCAGCAGTCCTCTTCCTACACTGAATACTACAACTATTCATAATGCCTGGAAAAAGAAGAAATTTCTTCAATATTTTGCCACTAAATAGAGTTGAAATTATGGCCGCTGATATTATTGAAGACCCAGGTGGCGAAGAGAACCGAAGTAGAGAAGAAGAAGAAACAAAAAGAGAAGAATATTGTATTGAATTGAAATTAGCATAATGATGTGTATTTATAGACAACAGAGATGTAAGAAGACATGGTGGAATGGTTTAGTTCAAGCTGAACCGGTGACCTGTATTCGTGCACTAACAGGCCCCCTCAAATTAATCATTCAACGGATGAATCGTTAATTTGTTATGTAATGTTGTAAACCGAGCAGGCGAAAGTGGTTTGGTTAGAATGTCCGCAATCTGATCTGTTGTGCTTAGATGAATGATGGTAATGGCGCCGGAGTTGAGATGTTTCCGAATAAAAAGATAGTAAATCTCGATATGTTTTGTTCTTGCATGGAAGACCGGATTGTGTGCAAGAGCGAAGGCGGACGTGTTGTCACAGTGGATAATTGTGGGAGAGTACTGAGGGAGCTGAAATTCAGCTACTAAACGTCGAAGCCAGAGAAATTTCGAAGTGGCAGAGGCAAAGGAATAGTATTCTTCTTCGGTGGATGATTTGGCGACGATTGTTTGCTTCATTACTGACCAGGAGATAAGATTATGTCTAAGGAATGTGCAGAAGCCGGAAATAGACTTCTCATATGTGGATTCTGCGGCCCAATCAAGGTTCTAAGTTGTAGATTGCTAATTGTAATGGGTAGACCGAAGTGGGACATGCCATTAATGTAGCGAAGTAGACGCTTGAGTGCTTGGAAGTGAGTGACAGTTGGCGCATGCATATGTTGACAGAAGGAGTTGGTGGCAAAAGCAACGATTGGACAAGTGATGGAAAGATACTGGAGAGAGACAACTAGTTTGTGATAGAGCTATGGGTCTATGTAGAGCTGATACGAGTAGGAGCGAGAGTTGGACTTCGGAAATAAGAGGCGTAGGTGTAGGTTTGCAATCTATGAAGCCTGCAGCTTGAAGTAGGCTGTTGGCGTAATGCTGTTGATTGAGGAAGTATCCATTGGAGGTCATGTGACTTGGATTCCAAGAAACAGAGACACCTCGCCCAGCTGTTTAAGTTTGAATTGCGAGTGTAATTGCTGAATAAGTATGTTGATGGTAGCTTTGTCGTTTCCTGTAAGTAAAATGTTGATTCGAATGGTTGGCATTTTAGTGACGGGATCTAAAGTTTCATGATTGTTGATGCTGAATTTTTTGTGAAATCCTAAGCGACAAGTCGAGCTTTGTGTTTATCAATTTGGCCTATAGGAAGAAGTTTAGCTTTGAAAGTCCGCTTGCTCCTAGAATGGGTTTGTTGGCAGGTGGTGGTACAAGAGACCAGGTGCCTTGTTGTTGTAAAGCGAGGAACTCAGAGAACATGGTAGAATGCTAGTGCTGGTGTTTGCCGCTTGAGTGTAGGAGCTAGGAATAATTTGAGTGGAGGTGATAGTCATCAGATCAAAGATTTGTTTGGGTTTTGATATACCATATTTGAGACGTGTTTGCATGGGATGGGTTTGATTGAGATGGGAAGGAGTAGTATGAGTTTTGAAAGGGGAAATGGGTGCTGGAGAGGTGGGCTGAGAGTAAGAAGAAATGACAGGCTGAGTGGTGACAGAAGTGGATCCTTTTTGAGAAGCCTGGTGGAGAGTGGAGGTTGAAACGAGTACGTATGGGGAGATAGGTGATTAAGATGTGTTGGGTGCAATAGGATCGGATAAGGATTTATAAGGAAATTGTTGTTCATAGAAGACCACATGCCTTGAGATGTGAAGTTTGTTGGAGTGGATGTTTAAACATTGTTAGCCTTTATGAAAGGATGAATAGCCAAGAAATATGCATTCTTGAGAGCTACAGGATAATTTGTTTGGGGTGTAGGGCCGTAGCCAAGGAAAACATAAACAACATGAGGTCTTTAGATGCTTGTAGTTGGGAATCTTGTCATGTAGTTTTTGGTAGGGGTCTGAGTAGAGAAAGAGATTTTGAGGAAAGTCGATTGATTAAGTAGTTTGTAGTAGAGAGAGCTTCAGCCCATAAGGAAGCAGGAAGGCGAGAAGCATGCAAAAGATTACGAGTGAGGTCTAGGAGATGTTGATGTTTGCATTCAGCAAGACCATTTTTCTCGGGAGTTTGAGGGAAACTTAGCTGATGGTGATTCCATTTGTTGACAGAAATTCTTTAAATATAGTGCTTGTGTATTGTCCTCGACTATTAGTTCTGAAAATCTTTGGTTGAGTTTGAAAGTGATTTTTGAGCATGGCACAAAAATGTTTAAATTTATAAAATGTTTCGTTCTTCGAATGCATGAGGTAGAGCCACAAAAACCTAGTAAAGTCATCAATGAAGATCACTTAATATTTAAAACAATGAAAAGATTGTTGAGGTGTTGGACCCCAGAGATCAAAATGTATAAAAAAGAATGGTGTTGTCAAAACTGTGATAGTTTTATTAAATGGAAATTTGTGGCTTTGTGCCACATTACAAGAAATGCAAACTATAAAAGGAGAAGAGGTAAAAATAACTAGTATGTGTTTGGCTAAGGTATGAAGAAGCCTATTGTGTAGGTGACCAAGACGAGCATGCTAGAGCAAAGATGAATTGGTTGTATCATGAAGAGCAGTGCTGGAGTTGGTGGGTGGTGCCTGAATTTGATATAAGCCATTATGAAGAGGACCACGTAGAAGGAGGAGATTGTCTCATAGATCCTTAATAAGAAAACCATTCAAATCAAAGTAAATGGAGACTTGGTTGTCAGCAATCAATTTCAAAATAGATAGGAGATTATGAGATAAATCAGGAACATGAATAACGTTATGCAAATGAAGCTTACGAGCCAAATCTGGTAGGGGAAGAAGACCCTGACCAAAGTTGTGGATCAGAAGGGTAATTTTGTTGGCAATCGAAACAGAGTCAGCACCAGTGTAAGAAGATGATTGTTGCAGATTGGTAATGTCGGGTGTAAGGTGCGTGGAGGCTCCCGAATCCAAGATCCAACTAAATGAAGATGTGGAGTGCGACTGGGAGAATAAGGTGTGTGGTGGAGCAGATGGGGTAGGCGCATATTTTAAATTGCACCTATGCCAACAGTTGAAAGCCGAGTGTCCATATTTCCCACAATTTTGATAGATCGGACTATCTGTGTTGGGAGGGACAGGTTATGCTAGTGATAGAGAATTTTGAGACCAATGAGCAGAGGAGGTGCGGCCTTTTGAAAATCACATGGAGCTCATTCCACGAAATGAGGTGACACAATTTTTCTGAAGAGCTGTAATGTCTGGGTGAGGAGTAGAATCTTTTTGTTGTTAATTTGGATATTAATTTCCTCACTACAAAGTAAGGTATAAAGAACATCAAGATCTATGGGATTGAGGAATGTTCTAATGGAATTTTTGAAATAATTATATGAATGAGGAAGGCCATTCAAGATATATAAAATGACATCTTCTGTGTCAATTATTTATCCTGTAGCCACAATATTATCTACAAGGATTTTGATTTGAGCGAGATATTGCTGCATGGAGTGATCCCGCATTTGAAGCTGATCGAGTTCATATTTGAGTTGGATTACATGAGATCTATTGGTCGAGTAAAAGCGTTTATCAAGAGTGGACCATATTTCTTGAGCCGTAGAGGAGGAAAGAATGCAAGGAAGAGTTGAGAGAGAAATGGTAGACAATAGAGCGGAAATGAAATTCCTATCAACTAGATGCTAAAGGTGAAAATCGGGATGAGAGGAGTCAATCGGTCTTGGGGTTTCACCGATAAGATTGCTGGCAAATCCATTAGTGGAGAAGTGTTGAAGAAGTTGAAGATGTCAAATGGCGTATGTGTCCATGGTGAGTTGGGTGGGAACCGAGCTCTTGAGATTGGAGATCAAGAACTTCAATGATGCATGAATGGTGAACTGAGATAGTGCAGTGGATAGAGTAGATTGATTTGGGTGGGAGGGTGCCGAATCTTGATCAGCCATGAATTTGCTCTAATTTCATGAAGACCCAGCTGGCCAAGAGAGCTGAAGCAGAGAAGAAGAAGAAACAACAAGAAAAGAATATTGTATTGAATTGAAAGTAAGAATACATAATGATGTGTATATATAGAGAACAGAGATGTAAGAAGGCACGGTTGAACGGTTTAGCTTAAGCTGAACCGGTGACCTATATTCGTGCACTAACAATTATTACTGCTTCATTTTGGTCCTTCATTGTTGACCTCCATGTAAAAACCAAAGAGCATCGCATACATACCTTACCCGTCGGATCCACGATTTTTGCGAAAATCCTGCCGAAATCCCGCTGAAATCCTGTAGCTCGGGCGCCTTTGAGTCGCTTCTCTGCGATCATGCTCAACTCGTGTGCCACCTAGACACTTTTTTCATCATTAAATACAAAATGAAGGAAGCCTTCGGGACTACTTCCACACAGGTGAAAGCTTTGGCTCTCTGCTCTCCCGTTCGTCACTAGAGCTCCTCTTACTTGGTCGATCTCCACCATAGCTGACCGACCCCTCCCTTTGCTCCTTCGGCCCGAGAGAAAGAAAGAGAGTGAGAGAGAGAGTTCTTACCCCAATATCTCTTCTAGCCAAAACCTCCTCCCTCCTTTCCCGTCACTGTGCCGACGCTTCTAGCCGCAATCCAAGCTCCGACTTGCATCCCGACCTCTGCCCTAGCTTTCCCATTCGAACTCCAGCCCTTGAGATGGAACTCTCTCATTCATCGCCTCTTCTATACCCGAACCAACCCATTCACCTCCTTCTCTAGTTGCCTCCTCCGATTCCTCCCTCCTTGGCCGCAAGCTCCATCCCGGCCGCTTAGTTGATTAGGTATTTATTTTATCTTATTATCATTATTTTTTAAGTATAATTAATTTGTAAATAATTATAATTAATCTAAAAAAATTCTTCTCTCGTGGCTTGCAACGGACCGGCAAACCCCCTACATGTTCACGTAGCATTGTAGGGAGGGAAAGCGGCGCGGCGCTTGCGTTGACTTAAGAATTCAGATAATTTGAACTTGAACAAAATGCACAAAGAACTCAAGCATAAGCAAATTATAGCAAGCATAAATTTGATTTCAAACGAATAATGACAAGGGATCTAAGTGCATTGCAAAAGACTTTGAACCTCACTTAACTTGGTCAAATCATGAAATGAATTATTTGAACACAAGCAAAGGCGTTGAAGACTCATTTTGGAACTCAAACTAATTGAGATCTCAGTGGATATGACTTGGACCATTTGAACTTAAAATTCAAATGATCAAAAGACTCAAATCAAAGTTAATTTGAACTTGTACTTGAATTCAACAAGGTTATTTGGGACTTGAACTTAAAAGCATTTGACTCAAATGAGCAAGTTTTGGAAATGAATAAGGCTACTTGGATTTGGACTTGAATGTTCCTAGAACTTGAATGAACCTAAGCATAATTCATTAAGCTTGAGATCAAGTTTGACTTTGGTTTGAACATGATCGAAACAAATGAGCAATGAAGGACTTCAAAATGTTAAAGAATTTTTAGGATATGTCAGGATATGTCATTCAATCCCTATGCAAATAAATAAAGTTGCTTGCACTCTGACATGAAACTCCTTAGACAACAATATTCAAATGATCGTAAGTGGAAGTGGAAGTGCATATTCAAATCAGCAAATATCAAGTTCATCGTATACGATCAACCTAAAGTGAGTGTATAAGATGAGTGCATGTTATTCATCTTAATCATGAATGCCATATTCACAAAGAACATATGAAGAATGTGAAATGAATAGCAAGGCTTCCTTCTAATCAATGGCAACCAGCTCGTAGATGAATATTGTGATTATCTAAAAGCATGAAAAGCTGAAACATATAAACATGGTAGGCTGCTAATAAATTCAATGATTTGCTGGCTAATGTACATGAAGGGGATACGCTCCATATATGATGAGTCTACAATACATGTGGATACTTGTGTGAGGTGTCATTCGTAAGAAATGACAGAAGGAACTTTCTAATGCAGAACAATATACTTATAGGTGGAAATCAACAACATGCAGTGAATGTTATTACACTCCTACAATCAGCAATAATCTAGTACTAAGCAAATATACTAACTCCCTACAAGCAAGAGAAAAGGGTCCTTATAAGAGATTCGACATACACACTAAATATTGCCCACAAGCAGAATGCCAAATGGGGCACAACAAAAGTAAGCTTCTATGAGTTGTTGTAGGAAACTCATCGTACACTTAATGTGTTATACACTGGCTCTTGTAGAAAACCCTCCATACATGTAAAATATCACCTACGAACAACATGCAATATGACTACAACAAATGCAAATATCCATGGACCACTTTAGAATATTCATAGTACACCCAGTCTATTTCCCACAAGCAAGACACAAAGTAACGATATCAAGTGCAAGTGCTTACGAGTTACAGTGGAAAATCATCGTGTATACAATAAGCTATCTATGGGCATCAACAAATATAAAGCAGGAGATTCGTTAGTGCACTACAAAATATATGTAGAAAGCAACAAGTGGTGCATGACAGTCTACCTGTATAAAACAGTAAATAATTGATTAAGAAGCTGCTACTTCATGCCACCGGATCCGCAACACTCGTACTAGCGAACAGAAGGCGTCCATAAGACTATAATGTTATGCCACCAGATCCGCAACACTTATACTAGCAGATAAAAGGTGTGTATAATCTCTCAAATGAAGTGTTGTGCATTCAAATGGAAATTGCATGCACAACTATAATTATTTCAGTGTATCCCTACATATGTGCACTATAAATTGTATACACATAGGTACACTAAAGGAAAAATTCAATCATAACCCGCATGGGCCCCGGCGAGAGTGTTACTGGTACACACGTGATGTCCAGGGATGCTGCGTGGGTCCATAAGTGAATTCAAGTTTGAACCCGATCCTTCTATACGGATCAATAGGAGTCGATAGGGTTTAAACCTTCAAACAAATACCCGGTTGTGGAGACCATTGTATTTCTTTTAATACATTCATATTAGGTCTTCAAGGCCTATAATAAAAAAAATCACTAATAAAGGCACGAAGCCTATGAAACCCGATCCTCCTAAGCAGATAAATAGGAGTGGACAGGGTTCAAGTCATTGGATTAATATGCAGTCACGAATGAGACCAGAATATTTATTTTATACATTCATATTAGGCCTTCAAGGCCTTTAATAAAGAAAATTCACAAACAAAGGCATGAAGCCCGAGGAACCCGATCATCTATTGACAGCTCAACAGAGTCGACAAGATTCATCCATTAAAAACAAATATTTTCAAATGAATGACCCCATACACCCTGATGATGATCGTGTTGAACAAAAATATCAACTGGAGGGATTAATTCTAAATATTTCAAGCTCTAAAAAAATCTCAAAATCTCAAAATCCAAAATATTTAAAATTGAAATAATCCATCAAATGTTTAAAGCAAAATCCATCCACTCTCCGCAACAGTTTGCCGAGGTGGACGAATTAAAATTTACTTTAGCTCACATAGGCCAAATGCCTTGTCGAAATTATCACTAGGATCCATTCTCAAATAATCTCCTATCAGTAAGGACGTGGTACGTGTCCTCTAACATGCAGTTTTGCCGCCAAATGGCACCGCAGGATAAACGATTATGACCCAGGGCTCTCTAAACCGAGTGATTTTGCTGTCAAATGGCACCACGAAATATCGGTTATGGCCAGAGCCAATACGTTCCTTAGTGGCATCAAATCCTTGAGACATGAATCAATAGGGCACAAAGCCCTCTGTTAGCTAAGTTGGATTCAAATTTGTCCCCTTAGGCAAATATCCATCCCAGGTCTACAAGGTCCCCATGGATGAAGCAACCCATGGCTGCCGACAAGGATCCTTCTGTCAGGTTGGGTCGACTACCTCCTCTGACTAAGTAGACCAGGGACCACGATGGCCCGATACGACAAAACCATGAGATCTTGATCGGGTCTATCATCCATTCCCCCATCATTTGCTTTAAGTGCAAGATGGTGAAATTTCCAATTTTAAATATCAAACTTCTTAAATTTCTAAATTCAAACCTATGATGCTACTATATGCCAGATAACGCGTATTTTCTATGTATTTGATTGACAACTAACCTTAATCGAAAGTTCTCTCTCGTGATCGGGAGGGGTAATTAACTATAGGGGCTTGCGCCTATAGGAAACCAGAACTTAGATCATAAAGTCCTTGCAAAATGAGGGCGAAATATCTGGGTAGTGTCTTATTTACAAACCCATCTGCCTTCCCAAAATTTACCCCGAAACTTATTCCGTTAAAACTCCCTCGCAGAAGAAAAAAAACAAAAATGGGCATAGGCCGGGGCCGAATTTTCGGAGCCCACATTTATCTTTGTGTTAACCTTGCACTATATTTATAAAGTTTCTTATGTTTTTTAATATTTTAATGAGATGAATTTTAATTAAATTAGATAGTATTAGTCCCCCCAATTTTATTGGTTTCAACAATTGTATGTCTTCTTAACTGTCATTGCAAGTTGTTGCTAGCTATTGGTTAATTTGTTATCAATTTAGTGTAGTAATTAATCATTCTTGATCTTCACTTTGTTTAAAATGGTGCTATATTCTCTCTCTTAAAATGCATAATTATTATGTGAGTAAAATTAATTTATTATTTTTGTCACATATTTGAAATCATTGTGTAATTACTATATTTAAATAAATTAAATCATTTTATTCAACACCACTCAAAATGAACTCTTTCTGTAAATGATTCGTTAATTGCAAATTTTGATTGGACTCTGCTTTTTATTAAATATGTAATGCTAGACTAGCATCACAGCACTCCATTAAATACTCAATCAAATAGAGAACATGACGCATAATGCCCGAAACCAACAACCCAGCTCGAGGTGAGAATTCGAGTGGATGTTGAAAAGAAAACTAAACTGCTAACAATGCAGCAACATAGAAAGAAACAGTGAAGAATAGATACAGAGGAATTGAGCTGAATAATGCTTTCATTTGCTGATATGTCTACAGCACAGTATTACATATATATAGCTAAAACAGAATGCTTCAGTACAAGTTTGTTATAACAGAACATGTGCAGACTAAATGAAGAAAGTCTTGCCGCAGCATAACAGCCCACGTGCTGTTCAGAGGAATATGCTTAATTCCATTTCCATAACAGATGTAAATCAATTTCATCAAACTAGTATAAATGGCTTGCGTACTCATTTAAACTTTTTGCATTTACTTCGCTGCAACTTTTATTTCGTGCTTGTGATTGTATGATAATAATGAGAAACATATTAAAATTGCAAGCTAGTAAATGAGTTATCTTTGCTTGATAAATTAATTTTAAAAGAGAATATCTAAAAATAATTTATATTTAAAAGAAAATTTTATTTTTGTGAGAAACACTATGAAAAAAGTTTTTCATATACTTCGGCTCATGATGGCAATTTCTGATAAATTATTCGATAGATGGGAGAGAACTAGATTGTGAGTGTATTGACTGTGTACAAATAATGTGTACATAGTTTGAACATAGCATGGTTCAAATTATGTACATACTGTTTGTATACAGTGTGTACACTCACAGTCTAGATCAATTTTTTCCGTCCGGACTCCGCACGGAATAATTTCATCATTCGTGGGCCAGATCTTTAAGCATCCTAGAGCCGACTAGTACATCCTCTGGTTTGCTCCGCTATGGCCTGGCTTTTTTTATATAAGATTGAAATGGTTATGCAGAAATTTTAAGTGCCAATAAATTTGTCCTTAAGCGCTCTCCTAAAAAAAATTTACAAAA